AATTTGATAAGTGCCGAACCAACCGGACTGTAGCAGATATGTGGGTCTGCCAGGCCGCTCCAAGCAACAGCGTGTTGGACCGAGTTATCACAAGTCAAGCCTGGCCTCAGGCCGGGGCTCGGGGAGTAAAATAACTTACTGACCGTCTTCAAGTAAGATCCAGGTAAGAAGACCAGTAAGAACAAGAAAGAGTTCTGGGATGTGGTGAGAACAGTTGAGACGCCAGATGATTCCCATCCTTGAGAAACTTCACAATTCGTGATGGGGCAGAAATGTGGAGCGCGGGGCACTAATCCCAGAGCCACACCTTGTTCCTGCCTGCAACTGTGACGCGTCGTGCCTCGTGCTGCAGGAGGTGGTGCAGGTGGCCAAGGGGGAGGTGCAAGTGGCCAGGGGGGAGGTGCAAGTGGCCAGGGGGGGAGGTGCAAGTGGCCAGGGGGGAGGTGCAAGTGGCCAGGGGGGAGGTGCAAGTGGCCGCGGCCAGGTGAGGAGGTGCAAGTGGCCAGGGGGGAGGTGCAAGTGGCCAGGGGGGAGGTGCAAGTGACCGCGGCCAGGTGAGGAGGTGCAAGTGGCCGTGGCCAGGTGAGGAGGTGCAAGTGGCCACGTCTAGGGGGAAGGTGCAAGTGGCCACGTCTAGGGGGAAGGTGCAAGTGGCCACGTCTAGGGGGAAGGTGCAAGTGGCCAGGGGGGAGGTGCAAGTGGCCAGGGGGGAGGTGCAAGTGGCCGCGGCCAGGTGGGGGGAGGGGGTGTCGTCAAGAGACTGGTAAGGCAGGTAGTGGTGGTGGTGTGGGAGGAGTGGCTGCTGACCCCTCCAGGTTAAGGCAAAACCAAAATCGTCCGAGGCGTGACTCACGGCGTCTTTACCTGCAATACTGATGACCACAATTGCACCCACTTCCTCCCCCCCCCAACCCCAACCCCCCCTCACCTGCTTTGTCTGTAGTTTACCTGCAGTCGCTTCGAGAGTTCCTCTCCCGCAGCCCAGCTCTTCTGTGATAACTTGATCAATTAAGCCTACTGAATGAGCGCAATGGCTCCCCCTCCCTTCCCCCCTTCCCCCTCACCCCCGACATATCCACAGCTGCTCCCCCCACCCTACCCCCCCCTAACCGGATTACCGCAGACGCTCATAACCCCCCCCCCTCCCCTTCCCCATGACCGCAGACGCTTGAGAACCTCTTATTGTAGAGTTCTTGGTCGGTGGCTACTGGCTAGGAAGGAGATTAGCACCAACTTACGTTTTTCCCTTCAAATTCAGTACATTTTATTCCAAGAAGGCAAAGACAGGGAAACTTGTAATAACATGTGAATGGAGTGAAGCAAGCAGCACACAGACTGACCCGAGGCTGCACAGCCGGGAACAACAGGTGAGTGGTGGTGGTGGTGGTGTGGTGAGTGGTGTGGTGAGTGGTGTGGTGAGTGGTGTGGTGAGTGGTGTGGTGAGTGGTGTGGTGAGTGGTGTGGTGAGTGGTGTGGTGAGTGGTGGTGAGTGGTGGTGGTGTGGTGAGTGGTGTGGTGAGCGGTGTGTGGTTGTGCGGTTGACCACTCCGGCCACCACACGTCTTACAGAACTGGCAGCCGCATAGCAACACGCTCACATCCTGGAGGTGTCACAAAGAACAAGACGACACACTTGTCAACATATGGCAAGGTGTCAATCATTCCCGACACCACTTGCCCGAAACGCTGTGCTTATTAGTGCATTTAGGGCATAGTATATACTAGCTCCCATCTATTAATCCAACATCCTGCTTGTAACTCATTCTGTATATATGTACCTTTACCTAAATAAATTATTATTATTATTATTTACAGCGTGCTAGCAAACGTGGAAGCGTCTTCGACTCTAGATGCCTGCCAACCTTAACTTATCTACGAGGCAAGAGCATCAAAAGAACAGGGCCGGAGGCCTACAGGATCACGAGGTAAATATAACATTTACTCTTTGAAGTACAGCCTTACTGAAGCAGTTAACGTTTACCGATATAATTTTTCGTTCTGATTTTTACCGTTGTGAATCTGTTTAATTCTATTTGTATACGCCTTCCATCCACCTTTGTACTTGAGCTGTTATCTCGCCCCATTCAACACGAGAGAATGTAAATTCAGTGTTTTTAATGCTTAACAAGGAACTCCGAGGATGGGAATTAACGGAAGGCGTTACACTGCCCAGGATATTTTTAAGGCTAATCTAGGATATCTTAGTAATCTTAAGGATATCTAGTTAATACGAGGCATGAATGGCTGAGCCGGTCGGTGGGAGGGAGCTCACAGCAGAGGTGAGCTTGGAGGGAGGGAGCCCACAGCAGAGGTGAGCTTGGAGGGAGGGAGCTCACAGCAGAGGTGAGCTTGGAGGGAGGGAAGCCATGAACCACCTCCCGTTGCCATAGTGGACGCCACACGACCACAAGTGCAGTAAATGCATGGCAAGTGGCGACAGTGCGCGTCCAAGCCACCATTACGTGCTGGCAGCTCCAGCGATGCCTCTACCACAACCTACATCGCTGTCATCACTCTCCTGCCCCACATCAACGTGTTTAATGAACAATAATAACACCAGACCGGTCCTCCAAGTACTATGCAGCATGGATGGTCTCCATCCAAGCCGCTCCAAGCAACAGCCTGGTGGACCAAACTCTCACAAGTCGAGCCTGGCCTCGGGCCGGGCTTGGGGAGTAGAAGAACTCCCAGAACCCCATCAACCAGGTATCCACAGTTCACTTTTGAATACACATTTCGAACAATAACCAGCCACAGAAATAAATGATATTACTCGGCCTATATTCGACTTAACAATTCGAATATATCCATGTAATATGTTATTTAATCTTCTGACTGGAAGGCCAGACTAATAGAAGTACCTTTTTTTTAAGAGAGACGAACCATTTATAGTATCTAAAGTACAGTACCAATAATTAGTAATGGGCCACCAGTAATCCACTTTTTTGTACTAATAATTTTTATGAAGTCCAGAAAAAAGGTTAAAAGCAAACTTAAATATTCCTGCCCTAGGATTGCTAGAAGAGACTAAGTTAGGTCTCATACTGCGAATAAAAATGTTTCCGGTTCGTCCAAATTCAGTAATACAAGTCCATCCATCACTATATATTGCTGCTTTCCACCACCAAATAGTTATTGTTAAGGACTTTCATTTTAGGAGGATGGGCTGATAGGACGTACAGGACCCCCTTCATTTGGGCCTACATATGTTGAAATATTCTTGGTGTTCATAACTCGAGTTTACGGTAATATCATGTGGGCCCTATCAGATTATACCACCACCTGGCCCAATCAGATGATACCACCACCTGGCCAATCGGACGATACCACCACCTGCACCACCACACAACACTACACAATTCCACCTGCCCTACCACACAAGTCCCGTCTGCCCGACCTCTCCTACCACACCATACCACCTCTCCTACCACACCACACCACCTCTCCTACCACACCACACCACCTCTCCTACCACACCACACCACCTCTTCTACCACACCATACCACCTCTCCTACCACACCATACCACCTCTCCTACCACACCATACCACCTCTCCTACCACACCACACCACCTCTCCTACCACACCACACCACCTCTTCTACCACACCATACCACCTCTCCTACCACACCATACCACCTCTCCTACCACACCATACCACCTCTCCTACCACACAATACCACGTATTAGACCTAGCACATAATGCCATTTGTCGCTTTAGTTACTAAAATTGTGGGCTTTTTTCTAGAAAAGTCCCAAGTTGAATTTATCGCATAGAACACACACATTGTGTCTTGGACAGTAGACTGTTATATAAATTAGATAAAATAAATAGATACATTTTTGAAAGAAGTACTGGACCAACCAGGCTGTAGTGGATAGGTGGGCCTACGGGCCACTCCAAGCAACAGCCTGTTGGACCAAGTTATCACAACTCGAGCCTACTAACCACTAACACAAGGGAACTAGTCCTAAACTAATGTTACTAAAGAAATCACTAAAATGCAGCTATAACCTAAAATTTCAGGTTTAAAATTAAATTATACTTACAATAAAGTGCATAAATATTGACTAAAAATGAGCAACAATGAATAGAACCGAACTTTGTTGTTTAAAGAATATTATTAATGAAGTCTCTTGATAAGTAGTGCAGACTTTCACTTGCAGCCTTCTATTTTTCGTTATCAAAATGTATCAATGTTCTTCCGACTAAGTTTAACAAATCAATGGAGAGCAAAAGTCTGCCGGTGATGACGATGGCCCAAGACCAAAGAGAAACTCTGGAAGGACCACTCCCTCCCTCTCACCAATGTCAGCTCGTCTCTTTAGCAATTTACAAATCTTGTAAAATAGTTGACGTATTTCAAAGGTGTTACCAGACTCACAGCAACCCGCGGTGGGCATCACCTGATCGCCATCTCCTCACTTGGTCTTCCTGCCACCATCATCACTCTTAGTTCCACTACCCACCACCGGTAGCTGGCGCTCCTCCCTCTCTCTCTCTCACTGGGACTAAGACACCACCAGCTCCTGGTAACCACCACAACAACTACCCGCATCTAAGGTAGCTGAGGTACTGACGCCTGGTAGCCAGGAGCAACACGAGACGTCACCTCACTTGATAATGACTCTCACCATATCGGTCGGCCTCTGTATATAACTTTATAATCTCCGTAGACAGTTGGCCCACATAATACACACACACACAAAACACGTTGCAGTAAACTCTCTAAAATTAAAAAAAAATCCAATGTCTCAAAATTTTGTGAACTTAAAAGATTTGTTAAACATATGATCACAGAGAAGTCCAAAGAGGCCACATTCCCTCTCACATCATACGTCTTAGCACTTTCGAGAAGATTTTGCATGAATACGAGGCGAAGTTGAGTCTTGGTAGTGAGGTGTGGAGGAAGAGAGAGCAGGAGGCAGTGTGGTGGCAGAGGCAGACATAAGGGGCTGTATGGGCGAGGCCCCAACACGGCCTAGAATGTTCTACTCACCTTGAGAAGCCGGCCGGCAGCAGCAGCTGATGATGTCAAGGTGTCGCCGGTTGAACTTTCACTGACTGATCCTAATAGGCGGGTAGCATAAGGGCTACTTTGTCTTGCCAGCGGCAACACTCCCACACTTCTCTGCCGCTAAGTAATATTGCGCCTCAGCTGGAGAGGAACTAGTCTTCCCGATAGTCCTCGACTGTAACAAATGCGAGAGGGAAGGCAGGAGCCCCGGCCATGGGCGTCCGCTGCGGCTCAACCCTTGCGAACAGCTGATGGGAAGCGTCCAGACTGGAGCCGAGAGAGGCTTCCATTCCCGGCCCATGTGAGCGCGGCCGCGGTCTGGCTGGGTCTGGCAGCTGCTGCCTCCACCAACCACAGCACTGCTCCGCCTACACGTCACCAAATACAGTTGGCCAATGAAGAGTTTCTTCGTGACGTCATCGTGCAGTCTGCACCAATTGGAACGCTTCATTTTTGTGACGCTTTCGAAGCTCTGACCAGTCATGGTGAGGGGTTCATGATGGCCAATGTCTACCATGACGTAACATCCGGCAGGTTTCACGTGATGTGTGGGAAGCATGTCTCTCTCTCTCTCTAGAACATCTGAAATTAAAGTCAAGATTTTACCAAAGCATTCGACACACCCAACCAAAAATCAATAACCAGTGCGCAAGAAATTGCGACAATTTTGTATGCAACATATAAAACATATAACTTAGTTAATTAATACAGAATTTACACATTAATTCCCTACATAATTCACAATCCTCTGCATCCTCCACCTTGTGGTAAAAATATTAATCGTCTCTATATTTAAGAATAAATTCATATGACACCCTGCACGCGGCCAGCACCACCGCTGACCTAGTCTCTGGCCACAGTGGCCACCACTCTGGCCACAGTGGCCCCTACTGGCCACAGTGACCACTACTCTGGCCACAGTGGACTCTACTGGCCACAGTGGCCCCTACTGACCACAATGGCCACCACTCTGCCCACAGTGGCCACCACTCTGGCCACAGTGGCCCCTACTGGCCACAGTGGCCCCCACTGGCCACCGTGGCCACTACTAGAACCACGTTAGCTACTCCGCCACCTGACGCGCTACACCAACTCAAGCTGCAGCAATTCTCACAGAATTTTAAACTATGAAAAATTCCTCGGCTATTAATGTATTTCTGCTCCTGTTATAGAACGACGCATTTATGGGTCAAATATATTTAGCCCCAGAAGGGCCATAACTGGCCGACCCCTCACAGTGTTCAAGAGAGAACTGATAAAACACCTCCAAAGGATCCTCCAAAGGATACCTGATCAACCAGGCTGTGACGCATACGTCAGGCTGCGAGCAGCCGCGTCCAACAGCCTGGTTGACCAGATTAGCAACCAAGAGGCCTGGTCGAGGACTGGGCCGCGGGGGCGCTAAGCCCCGAAACCAACACAAGGTAAGGAGGAATTATGAGTAGTAACGGCTTCTCAAAGGAGCCTCTGGGACTGAATAGGCTACATGTAGGAGGTTGGATTATTTACAGTGATAAAGCACGAGACTTTGGACTCGGCCTCAGCCCGTCCAGTCCGTCCTCCTAAGGTTTCCCAACGTCAAGAAAACGGTCTATTAAAGTGTCCTCTCCTAACCTACCAGAGGACCTAAAACGGAAAACGGGACAGTACGTCACTTTCGCGCGCCTCTTCCATTTTCCAGTACGACAATTTTTGGTCTTGTGTAACGCTTACGAGCGAAAAGCGACGTACTTTGTAGGAGGACAGGTTGTAGGAGGACAGGTTGATCTACCGGCTGATGTGGGAAGGAATAGTGTCGGGCCGTGCCGGGGGGGGGGGGGAGCGCGCTGGGCATGTGTTGTTATAGATTCAGCTACTGGGAACAAAAAGTTGCAAGTAGCACGGGCTATGGTGAGCCCGAAGTGGACTTACCTGGCACAGGAGCGAGGCTGTAACTGGCTTGGCACATCTACCATCTTATTGATGTCCTGACACTACTTGTGTTGACACATCGGCCTTCTTAGCTTAGACGAATCAGTAAACTTTCGTATGCTTGTAACTAGGCAAAAGCACTTTAAATTAAACGTTTGTCAAATAGTGAGGAACAAACGGCATTTGACGTCCAATAACCAATTAGGTGCTCCTGCGGGAATGTTAATGACACGCTACACAAAATAGACACCCATTATGCAATTGATAACCAGTATGTGTAATATATGTACAGACAAATGTTATATGTATGATAGTAACTCATTTTCCTGGCGACATTACTAACACTTAATGACAGCTTAGTGACAGCTGACTAACACCCAGGTACATATTTTACTGCTATGCCCCTGTTACCTAGCAGTAAAATAGGTACCTGGGTGTTAATCAGCTGTCACGGGCTGCTTCCTGGGGGTGGAGGCCTGGTCGAGGACCGGGCCGCGAGGACACTAAAAAGCCCCGAAATCATCTCAAGATAATCTCAAGATACACATTTATCTTGACGTGTGTGTCTGCCCATCGTGGTTTTGAAACCTGCCCATTGTAATTGCCCCGCTGACCATACTTGACAGGTTGTTCCACTCATGTACAACAAATGCTTGGTGCGCCTCCATCTGGGCTACTGTTTCCAAGCAAGAAACTTTACTCTTCAAAAGGACATAACTACTTTGGGAAAAGTTCAACTCAAGAGTAACTAAAATTATCAGAGAACTAAGTTAACTCATACCAGGATCGGCTGAGGGACCTCACAACTAACTATACAAACTAGGTACAATAGCGCTGATCTCATCGAAATATTTGGTATGCTCAACAAACTGGAAGATATTAATCCTGACAACTTCTTTAAAAGTTCTTAATGTAATTCAGTTAAGGGACAACAGCTTCAAGCTCAACAAATCGCAATGTTGGACAGAAAACAGGAGATGGTTTTTAACACTAATGGTAATACCTGAGGGAACCACCAGTCGAGTGTGTGGTAGTACACACCAAGACAGTGTGTACTCCAGATCAAAATTCACATGAAAATACTCATCAGTAACAATAGGGTACTGGGGCATATGACGGGCAGCCAGCTTCCTGCCCCTTGGTCTACCCAAACCTTGAGTATTGAATTGAATTGAGGCAATTCAAGTCTATATCTAAATTAATCCAATGTGATTTTCATCATTCTATTTAATCCCCTTTTTATACTTTTCGTCATTTCCATTCTTAGTCTACCACCAACCATTCTAATATATACCCCTTCTCCTGTTCGGTACTTCAGAGCCAATTCAATTCCTTAGTATCACAGTAAATGCTTGGGTACCATTCCTTTCCCCCGTCCCATCCCAAATCCTCATCCCTTCAGAGTACTATATAGTTGTAATGGCTTAGCGTTTTTGCAGTGATAATTCCCTTACCATAGTCGCACAATATTAGGTAGACTTATGTGAGGCGTGGAATTATTCACTCATGACAAATTATACGAATCGCAGTTGATAACCAGGAAAGTTGCTACAAGGGATAGGCTCATCTTGTGTAAGTCGCTGATATGAGTATCTTCAACCGGGGCGAACACAAATCTTGATTGACTTGAAGAGAAAATTGTAAGGATTAGTGCCGACCTAGAGACCCGTGCCGTTAGCTCAGGCAAGTGTCCCTCCTGCCGTGGCTGCCACGCAAGTCGGCCTCACCAGACTTACAACTAAGAGAAATCACAGCTCATTTGTATTCGAACCTTAAGATTTCATATAGAGGAGAAAATTTTCAGCGTAAGAGACACCATCAAGGTAATGAGAGACATGACCAGATACCACACAGCTGAATCTTAAAACTCTTAAGATGGGACGTAATGTGTTATGGCGTACCACAAGGCTGGTGTCATAACATATTTGGCTTGTTTTAACTTACTGATATGCAAAACGAAGCAAGGAAAATGGCTGCCATTCTGCCACACCAGCCCACTACCACCTCGTACAGTTAGTTACCCACGACGACAAGCTGCTGAGGTAAATGTCTGCCCTCCTACCTTGAGGCTACCTTGAGGTGCTTCCGGGGCTTAGTGTCCCCGCGGCCCGGTCGTCGACCTGGCCTCCTCCCCTCAACCAAATATCTGATACCAGATTCTTGTCGAGGGGCAAACTTGTGAGTATATAATGGCGGTGAGCCGTGACTGCGGTGAAGGAGGCCTGATCGACGACCGGGCCGCGGGGACGCTGAGCCCCGGAAGCACCTCAAGGTAAGAAGGGTACAGTGCTGCAGGAAGTGTCATCGTAACCTTCTGAAACATCCCTGGCAGACATCTTAAATAATCATGTTTTACTTATTCAGTAAATCTTTTTCGTCTTTTCTTTTACTTAGTATTACAATGAAGATATATCTCCCTATGCGTTTGAATTAGAAGTATATTCGCTTGAATTATATATATATATATATTACATATATATATACAATTTCTATACATTTTACAATTTCGTACTGACGCGAAAACTGATTTAGAACGAGCCACAATAATAGAAGACTGTCATAGCCAAACTATTGACTGAATGTTTGGCTATGACAGGAAGGAAGAAGGAAGAGGAATGAAGGAAGATCTCTTTAGGAAGAGACGGAAAGGTGCCACAACTATTATTTTCTATGAAATCATCTTATATTTGATATTAGTTTATATCATACGCAAGATGAGGCTGCTGGTGATGGAGCAGTGTAGTGACTAAAGGAATTCATTTAGCACTACTAAGTGAACAGATGCATCAGATGAAAGAAACTTCCCATTTGTTTCCAGCTTAGCCTGAAATCAAACCCGGGTCCGTGAACTCGATTCTTGAGCGCTGTCCGCTTTGCCGTGTTAGGGAGGTTGAGCTCCGGCTCTTTAGTTCAACTTCTCAATTGTCAATTAACTGGTGTACAAGTCCTTAAGCCTATTGGGCTCAGAGACGCTGTACATTTGAAACTGTTTATGGAGTCTGCCTCCACCACATCACTTCCTAATGCATTCCATTTGTTAATTGCTCTGGCACTGTACTCACCTAGTTGTCCTTGCTGGCTCTTGGCTCTTTGAGCTCTAGCTTTTGGCCCGCCTCTCAACTGTCAATTTTTCACACACACACACACACACACACACACACACACACACACACACACACACACACACACACACACACACACACACACACACACACACAACGAGCTTTCGTATGCGGCCCCAGCATGGAGCCCGTACCTTGTCAAGCACAAGACGAAGCTGGAAAAAATTCTAGAAGTATGGCACTAGGATAGTCCCAGAACTTAGAAGCATGAGTTATGAGGAAAGGCTGCATGAGATGCACCTTACGACACTGGAAGACAGAAGAGTAAGGGAAGACATGATCACTACCTACAAAATTCTTAAGAGGAATTGACAGGGTAGACAAGGATAAATTGTTTAATAAGGGTGGTACGCGAACAAGGGGACACAGGTAGAAACTGAGTACCCAAATGAGCCAGTGACGTTCGAAAGAACTTTGTCAGTGTCAGAGTAGTTAACAGGTGGAATGAATTAGGAAGTGATGTGGTGGAGGCTGACTCCATACACAGTTTCAAATGTAGATATGATAGAACCCAGTAGGCTCAGGAATCTGCACACCAGTTGATTGGCAGTCGAGAGGCGGGACCAAAGAGCCAGAGCTCAATCCTTACAAGCGCAACTAGGTGAGTACACACACCCAGGAAGCAGTCCGTAGCAGCTGTCTAACTCCCAGATACCTATTTACTGTTAGGTGAACAGGTGCATCAGGGTGAAAGAAAATTAAGTGTGCGTGTGTGTGTATGTGTATGTGTATGTGTGTGTGTGTGTGTGTGTGTGTGTGTGTGTGTGTGTGTGTGTGTGTGTGTGTGTGTGTGTGTGAGGGAGGGGAGAGGAGTGTGTCAATATTAAGACAGTTTGAAGATCAAAGGGTCTGTGGAAAACAAAACATTCACAGTCACCTATCTCACAAATGCAAAATGTGTGTACATACTGAAACGGTCCGCACTACAAGACCAGACTCCGCTACTAGAGTGGGTCACAGTGCAAGACCCACACACACACACACACACACACACACACACACACACACACCACAAGGCCGAGCCACACTACAAGGCCGAGCCATATTGTAGTGTCCCGTTGACTTGTATATTCTTACAATAGGATCAGGTATTGTCGTTGAACAGGGCCCCATAAGCAAGGACACATGTTCAACCCATACCATATGGCCAGACACCGGTGTAAGTCCAGATGATTCTGGCCACTGGTCTTGTCACAATACGGATTGACTACACGTCAGACTACACTAGATGCTTGGCTCTGGACCAGAGGTGGGCCTCAGTTGAGGGGGTCAGGTAGAGAGGTGGGCCACAGTTGAGAGTTGAACTAGAGCGGAGGGCCCGCCCGCCCAGCCCCAGCAAAGGGCTGGGTGGGCCAGAGTAGAGCCGGGCCGCAGCAAAAGGGCGGGCCATGAGGACGGGCTGGGCTCGCCCTGCGCGAGGCCGGGTGGAGGTGCGCGGAGGGGAAGCAGGCAGACACCAGCAGCAGCAGCAGCAGCAGCAGCGTCGCTAGCCAGACGGTGGAGTAACGGGACCTCTCTCTCGCTCCGTCTACTCCCCTCTTTCCTTCTCTCTTACATAATCTTTTTGTGGGCAGTGATTCTCTTTAAATCTTACTCTATATCTATATACTTTTCTCTCTATGTGCTATTTTGAGCATTAATTTGTCTGTTAATCTTACTTCCTGCATTATTTTACACTTGACCTACTTCTCTCTTGGTACGTATAGGGATGACCTGTTACGCGCTGGACACAGTCTCTACGTTACTTCAGTAACTATTTTATCACAGTAATTCTCCCCGAATGAATCTGTCGACATCGCATCTTCGTGGCAACTTCTGCCCGCTTGCTGTAGTTACTATATATCTGATGTCAGGCATTTGTCCCGTTTATTATCAACTATATTCACTATTATAATGATTCCCTTCGCTGCTTTCCTAAAATATGTAGAATTCAAAATGGATTCGTGCCACCCATTGCCATCAATGGTGGATGGCAATGTGAGCGTCACTTACAGTTCAGATTTTTGTTAAGGTGATGTAAAATTGATCTAATGTTCCAATGGGCAACTTAATGAAAATCAACCCGACCTTACCCCCTTCGTCCAAAACCTGACCTGACACCCTAATTACCACATGGGCGCGACAGCCCCGCCTAGCTTTTGTGGCATGAAGCGTGCCCAGCCTGGTCAAGGGACAGAGAGGTTTCATGACCTCTCATATCATGAAACATTAACACTCTTCAGAGCATTATATTTGTATGTATGAATGCATCCCCACGATCCAGCCCACTGTTGCATCAGTTGTTTAAAGGTTGCAACGCGTTCTTCTCAAGGATGTTGCAATGAAAACACTTCTCGAAGATTGTCTTATTCCAACTGGCGGAAAGATTATAATTCCGCATTTACAAAAGAAACTGAGACAACCAATGATGTTTCCCCAGTAAATAATAAAGACAATTAATTCCCTTCGACCAGGCGAGGTCTCTAGCGCCGTTCCAAGCTCCTCAGAAATTAATATATATTTAACTTTCATCTCTAACCGGAATCTAGCATGTTTCGCCATGATAAACGGTGGAATTCTTTCTAAACTTGATCTGATACAGCGTCTTGGGTAATTTGTGTTAAAACAATTCTGAAGAGAAATTTAGTTTATACAATAAGAATGATGTGTCATAGTTGTCACTTAACTGTATTACTGAAGTTTTTCACTTACCCTTCCAAGTGGAGGAGAGGCAGCAGCTGATCAATATAAATGTTTGTGTCCCCGGGCGACGACGCATCACAGGTGTAAGCAACACATTCCACGGAGTGGCGCCAGTGGGTCCCACCTGCAGCTCCCGACACCACTGACCATCCACTTTTCTCATGACAATCTCTAGCACTGTTCACTCTTCCCACTGTTAAGTTAGTCATTAGGGCTAAGATCCGTCGTGGTGAGGGCGGCGCGGGCTGCAGGCGACGGGCTGGCTGGCCAGGTGTGGCTACACTGACCTCGACGACAAACCTTGGCTGACCAACTTTCACTTCCAGGAAGGCGGCGCAGGGAGCGAGCCGACGGCCACGTGGCGTGCTATATTGAGGAACTGTGTTAGGCGCGGCCCTCTCGGCCCCAGGGCGGCACTCCCGGGGCCCTCGGGCCCAACCTCCTCATTTGTTGCTGTTAAACTTGTGCCACATCAGGAGGAGGCCGAAGGAGGACGGCACCAGAGTACCGGCACTCGGCTTAGGCAGCGACGGGAGGCTTGCGTGAGCATTATCAATAGGAGACTTTGAGGGTTGAGTTACGATGACGAGAGGTGAGGGGGAGAGTGGCTGCTGAGTGAGGTTGGCCTCCCTGACGCCGGTGTTACAGAGTGCTGCTGCTGCTGCCTACCCCTCCCCTGTCACTCGCCCAGCTGACGGCTGCCCGCGCCTGCTCCCTCACCTCATGGTTCCCTGCCAAGGTTGTGAGTCTGTCACCAGGAATCCTGTGGCCTGGCATAGGCTGTTTGCGTTATTAAGCGTGCCACGTTAGCGAAGGAGCACACGGAAGTGTATGGGCGTGTTTGCCGCTGTGACGGGTGGCGGGCGAGCAGCAGCAGCAGCAGCAGCAGCAGCTGGTGCAGTGCGGAGGCTGGTGGCCGGTGCGGGAGGCACCGTCACGTAACGGGTGGCCACTGCCTCGGTCAGCTGCCTCGTGGCTAGCTAAATATAGTCTTGGGGCCGTTTCCTCCTTCACAAGTGTAACTTCCGGTACTGGAGGAGTGGTGAGCGCGGGTGGTGGGAGACAGACAGACAGCAGGGCGTGGTGGGCCGTGCCGGCCGGCGGCGGCGGCGGCAGCTGCGGTGTGCTCGGCTCGGGACCCGGCGTGGAAGTGGCGGAGCGGCAGGCTGGCAGGGACCCCACAGACGGCCGGTGCCGCAGCCGCTCGCCACCACTTTAACCTCACTTACTGCAACCCTCATCTTGCACCTCATGCTGCCTCTGCACTCTGCACACCTCCTCTACCCACTCACACGCGCACTCTCCGTCTAATATCTCCCTCCAAACGCCCAGAGTGACGCCAGCAATTTGGGGAGAAAATGGTCTGAACCGGCACTTGTGTTAAACGGGCAGGTCATCGACCTTCCTCCGTCTGCACACCCCTCCCCCGTCACCCCCACTACACGTCCCGCCCTTCACACACTTGTAGTCTCTCTGGCTGAATAATCTCCACTTTTGTTATATACTTTGTACACTGTCGGGTGGTCCACTGCACCGACGCTCCGCTGCGGGTCGCTTATATACCGAAACGCCGAGGAGATGGCACGGATGATGAGTCAGTGTGAGCCAGACATGGCGAGGGGGGGGAGGGGGTTGGGGGTCAGCCAGACTCACCCCTCATCCCCCCTCCTCATCCCCCTCCCCCCCACACTAGAGGCAAGGGAGGGAGTATCGATCTCTCGCTCACCTTACGGAGGCGGCTGGAGAACACTAGTAATTTGTTCTTCTCTTGTTATGCCTAACAGTAGCCAAGACCCCCATACTGCATGAACCTGCTAGTGAGCCAACACTACTGCAGTAAGAGCAGCTGTACTGGGGTGTGTCTCCTAGTACTGGAGTAAGAACAGCTGTACTGGGGTGTGTCTGCTAGTACTGGAGTAAGAACAGCTGTACTGGGGTGTGTCTCCTAGTACTGGAGTAAGAGCAGCTGTACTGGGGTGTGTCTCCTAGTACTGGAGTAAGAGCAGCTGTACTGGGGTGTGTCTCCTAGTACTGGAGTAAGAACAGCTGTACTGGGGTGTGTCTGCTAGTACTGGAGTAAGAACAGCTGTACTGGGGTGTGTCTCCTAGTACTGGAGTAAGAGCAGCTGTACTGGGGTGTGTCTCCTAGTACTGGAGTAAGAGCAGCTGTACTGGGGTGTGTCTCCTAGTACTGGAGTAAGAGCAGCTGTACTGGGGTGTGTCTCCTAGTACTGGAGTAAGAACAGCTGTACTGGGGTGTGTCTCCTAGTACTACTGGGAATATGAATAGCTGTATTGGGTGGTGATCCGCTGCTACTGTAGTAAGAACAACTGTAGTAGGCGTGCCACTCTTACTGTATTAATAACAGCTGTATCGAGGGTATGCCTGCAGCTACTGCATTAATAACAGCTGTATCGAGGCGTGCCTGCAGCTACTGCATTAATAACAGCTGAATCGAGGCGTGCCTACAGCTACTGCAATAATAAGATGTAATGGGCGTGTTTATTTCTACTTTATTTATTTATTTATTTATTTACTCATTTATTTATTCATATACAAGAAATTGAAATAAGTTTATTGAGGTAAAATACACACAAAGGGATGAGGTAGCTCAAGCTATTCTCACAACGTTCAGTACATCGTGTTAATACATACATAGACACACATCACAAGCAATAAACGTATTACCGAACATTCTAAGAGATAAACATCTACATTTCCTCCTTTACACAAGTACATATACAAGAAGATAATGGGTAGTTTAGGGGTACACAGGCTAGTGGATGAGGAGTACATTCTTGTAAAGCTACAAGCACTGCTAGCGTTTCAACTGTGTCAATAACTATTGCAAACACTCAGTTTAAATCATTTACTCTAGTTAGCCCTTGTTTCAACACTCAGTTTGTGTGCAGGTCAACTAGTAGTTTCTTGGTATTTTTCTCAGTATTAATCCTCATAATGTTTTCAGCAAGTATTGAAAAAAACAGAGTTTATATTCACTGAAAGATCATTTGTGGGACTAAGAATAGCAGTAGGCTGTTGGAATAGTAGTAGGCTGTTGGAACAGCAGTAGGCTGTTGGAACAGCAGTAGGCTGTTGGAATAGCAGTAGGCTGTTGGAATAGCAGTAGGCTGTTGGAACAGCAGTAGGCTGTTGGAATAGCAGTAGGCTGTTGGAACAGCAGTAGGCTGTTGGAACAGCAGTAGGCTGTTGGAATAGCAGTAGGCTGTTGGAACAGCAGTAGGCTGTTGGAATAGCAGTAGGCTGTTGGAATAGCAGTAGGCTGTTGGAACAGCAGTAGGCTGTTGGAACAGCAGTAGGCTGTTGGAATAGCAGTAGGCTGTTGGAACAGCAGTAGACTGTTGGAACAGCAGTAGGCTGTTGGAACAGCAGTAGACTGTTGGAACAGCAGTAGGCTGTTGGAATAGCAGTAGGCTGTTGGAACAGCAGTAGGCTGTTGGAATAGCAGTAGGCTGTTGGAACAGCAGTAGGCTGTTGGAATAGCAGTAGGCTGTTGGAACAGCAGTAGGCTGTTGGAACAGCAGTAGGCTGTTGGAATAGCAGTAGGCTGTTGGAATAGCAGTAGGCTGTTGGAACAGCAGTAGACTGTTGGAACAGCAGTAGGCTGTTGGAACAGCAGTAGGCTGTTGGAATAGCAGTAGGCTGTTGGAACAGCAGTAGACTGTTGGAACAGCAGTAGGCTGTTGGAATAGCAGTAGGCTGTTGGAACAGCAGTAGGCTGTTGGAACAGCAGTAGGCTGTTGGAATAGCAGTAGGCTGTTGGAACAGCAGTAGACTGTTGGAACAGCAGTAGGCTGTTGGAACAGCAGTAGGCTGTTGGAACAGCAGTAGGCTGTTGGAATAGCAGTAGGCTGTTGGAATAGCAGAAGTCTGTTGGAACAGCAGTAGACTGTTGGAACAGCAGTAGGCTGTTGGAACAGCAGTAGGCTGTTGGAATAGCAGTAGGCTGTTGGAACAGCAGTAGACTGTTGGAACAGCAGTAGGCTGTTGGAATAGCAGTAGGCTGTTGGAACAGCAGTAGGCTGTTGGAACAGCAGTAGGCTGTTGGAATAGCAGTAGGCTGTTGGAACAGCAGTAGACTGTTGGAACAGCAGTAGGCTGTTGGAACAGCAGTAGGCTGTTGGAATAGCAGTAGGCTGTTGGAATAGCAGAAGTCTGTTGGAACAGCAGTAGGCTGTTGGAATAGCAGTAGGCTGTTGTTGGAGTATTAACAGCGATCGTTAGTTGTCTGCGAACAACGATATGTGTCTAATGGTATTTTTTTAAATATATTTATACTACAGATCTGGCTATTTGTTTTATATAATGCTAATAAACGTGTATTAATTTTTTTCTGTACTCCGTAGCCAGGGCTGGAGTGGAGTGAGTTATTGAGCACTCAATTAAAGTAGGTGATTGTAGTACTTTTATAATGGTAACCAGCATACTAACATACTCGTCTGTCCCCATAAACAGCGTTAGAACTGGTAATGGGTTACGGAGTACTCAACCACAACCACTTGAGTACTTTTCATTTATAAAACATTGTGAATTAGATCATCTTCAACCACAAAAAGTGATTGAAGAGCATTGCAATGTCAAATTACAATTATAATCATCATATATATATATATATATATATATATATATATATATATATATATATATATATATATATATATATATATATATATATATATATATATATATATATATATATATATATATTCGTCTCTCCTACACTGACACTGCTAGAGAACTGCTAAGGAATATGTGTAGTTAGTACCTGGCGCCTGACAACTGGGTGGACAGCTGTCAGACAGCTTCGGATTCGTAGTCCTGAGGTTCCGGGTTCGATCCTCGGTGGAGGCGGAGACAAATGGGCAAAATGTTTCTTTCACCCTGATGCTCCTGTTACCTAGCAGTAAATAGGTACCTGGGAGTTAGACAGCTGCTACGGGCTTCTTCCTGGGGGTGTAACAAAAGAAGGCCTGGTCGAGGACCGTCCGCGGGGACGCTAAGCCCCGAAATCATCTCAAGATAACCTTCAAGATGCTGGCGTGTTGATCTTATAGTATAAGCTTTCGAGGCTTCTAAATGTTTCCTTAGTGTCAGTATTAAGACCAACAATCAAGTTACCAAAGTTCATGGCAAAGAAACTAGTAATTATTTTAGGATTTATTTTCTATAACGTTTCGGTCCACTCTGGAACATTTTCAGGTAAAGATGGAATACATAAGATTAATTGATTGATGATTGATTGATTGATACAGAGTAAGCCACCAAAAAGGTGGCACGGGCATGAATAACCCGTAAATGGAGGACCAATTACATAAGGTACAATTGTGTGCTAAATACACATATGGAAGTGGTGAAGTTTTGTGTGGTGAGGTGAAGGGTCCAAGGAACACGGGGACAATCAAACACAGGATAAGGAATAAGGAAATAATAAGGTAGGAATAAGGAAAAAGAGTCAATCAAACATTGGGTAAGTAGGTGTTGCTAGACTCTCTTATTATTATTATTTACATCTTTATTGACAAAATTAATTACAATTTTACCTAATATGAGGGTTTCAATTAAGTCCTATTAAAATGAGGATAATGCTGGTATTCACTCTCTGGTACTGTGGGTGGGCGAGGGAGAACTTCTTGTTGTTGCGGCTTGTTTATTGTGCACCCCATACTCATCCTGTGAGCGGTAGCGCAAAAAGCATTACAGAGGGCACAAAAGGTCTTTATCAGACCTCATCTTAGATTATTACATAAACAATTTCATCTATCCTTCACTCCTTATAGTTACATGTCAGCTAGTTACAGAGGATGTTCTATTTCAAGAACTATATATTTACAGTAAGTTATTATACATTAATGGTTGGTCTTATCGCTAATACATAATTGTTTGATCAATGGAAATATTACAGTCATAGAGGAGCTGCTGTTTGTTATTAGTCTTCACAATACTGAGTTTCTTAATCTCATATGTTATTTATCTACTGGAAGCGAAATATGGATACAGTGCAAGGATTTCAGGTAATTTATCCATGGTAATAAGATAGGTTGCCATGTCATACAGCGTGAGTTTAGATTTATCTCTAAATGGCTCAATTTTACTACAATCCAGGATATAGTGTTCGAGTGTGTGTGTCCCTGCCTATCCACACACTTTACACTTTACTTCATCTAGATCCCTATACAAGCCGAACTGCCAGAGATACTTGTAGCCAAGTCTTATACGAGCTGTGACAACATCTGTTAGTCTACTGACTTTGTTACTTGCCCCATACACATGTTTTACTTCACACATTTCATTGTGATAAACAATGGACCTGCTAGTTCTAGTTTGCACTGTTTTACTTTCTTTAAATCCATCCAGGAGTTCTCATCTAATGACACTTTTAAGGGACCTATTTGATAATTCAAGATTCTGTTCAATACCGTCTTCATTTACTGCAGACCAATGTGAGAAGGAAT